GGTTACCACGGCGAACGATGTTTGCCGATGCAGGTACTCGGTGGAATAAAGCCCAGGGTAGTCAAGCTGAGACCTGGCGTGAGGGTATGAAAACCCTAACCATGCGTCTAGGTCGCATACGTCCCGTTAGGCTCCCTGGCTGGGGACCTAGGAATGGTTGTAACCGATGGTTAAAGACTGAGTGATATGGCTGTGTCGTAAACAGTGGCTTTTGTGCATCATCTCAATTCCCTTGCATCATTAGTCCACTGAACTTTCCAATTTTCTCTTCGATCCCACTTTCAACCTTCATTTTTCCCCTCCTGTTGTTCACCCAAATGGGCAACCAAAAGCGTCGCACGGAAATGCATGCCTACTGGTTTAAACTGAACTGTAATCCGTTTGGGGTCGGTGTACCGTTCACAGGATACGTGACATTTACACGAGGTCAAACGTTTAAGGTACCCAGTCAAACCGATGATTGGTATTACAGTCAGAAGGGTGTGAATATGCTTCGTACATCTTGTTGGTTTAGAATCCGGAGTTTAGCTAGCTTCCCTCGGTGAACCCCCCCCCCTTGGTTTATCGACTTGGATGTGGGCTTTTCATCCTTCCGTTTTGGTGGGAAACACCCCGGCTTGAGGCTTTTTGAAACGCTCAGACGTTTAGGTATATTTTGCTATGGAAAGTGACCAATCGCAACCAAAGGCACCCATCTGCGATCATACAGTGTCCGTCGAAGGCTCAGCCCATTATAAAAGGTCACTGACCCGAAGTCATGCAGTGTTTTTGTGCAGACTTTAGGGGAAATATACGACTGTTTGAATGACGCGTTTTTGAGGAATTAGGAAATTGGGTTACTGCTTAATTTAAAAATTTCATTCATACGAACATCATATTCTCTCCTCCTGCTCTCATTCCTCTCACACAGTTTCAATTTCACGGTCGATGTCACTGAAGTGTCCTCGCTCGCTCTGCGAGTGGATGTAAAAAATCACGTGGCTATGTTCACACGCAGTGGCAAAGTGCATGATATGGGTTCAGTACAGTTGGATCTATACAAACTCGTGGGATCTGGCCCTATCACTGATTGGTAAGTGTGTGTAAATGCTTTCAGCCTTCACTTTGTATGAAGTACATCCATAGTGTGATTAGGTACGGCATTTATTTAGGTTTGAGTCTCAATCAAATTCATACCACATGGTTAATTTTTTCACGAACACAACGCTGAAACGGATACATTTACCATTGTGTGCTTTTGAACTAGTTCAACTGACTCCATTACTTTATCGTTATTATCACTGCTTTTGTCAGCTTGGTATTTGGTTCCAATTAATACGACGTTTACGTGTTTGTCACCNCTCCTTCATGTAATACGTGTGTTCATTTCTACTCTCAGGTATTCTCTGTCACCACTGGATGATGCTGCTCCTGGTGACAATCAGAGTCAATCATCAACCTAATGTTCGCGATCCGTACGCGACTGAACAGTCAATAGCTTACCCAATCCGCTTCTCTACCATTTCATTCAGAACAGCGCCGTCTAACTTTACATATAGATGCATACATGCTCGTCGTTTTCCTCCGCGTTTTTCAACCCATTCGGACACTGTGTTTAGCCTTCGTCATCCGCTTATCATGNCATGGTAGTCTTCCGTACTTGCTTTTACTCTGTCTATCTACTTGCACCGTCTCCTCAACCAGATATACTGAACGCTAACACGACATTTTACCCGCTTTAGATGTGCGCCGTTATCAATCCCACAAATATATACAGATTTTTTCTCTTGTATTTCTTGTTTTGAACTAAGTTCATTGCGTTAGGGGTGATTTGATTCACATACCTGTCCTACCCCATTGGAAAAGGTTTTTCTGTCTTCGTCCCCTACATAGACTGTAGCATTTGGATGGCCTTTATTCTCGCCTCGTTTGTTCGAATACAACGGTGGTGGTTGAGTTGTCGCAATACTTTCGGTTGTTTCATTTCATCTGTTCACCGAGTTGGGTAATTTGTTTGCAAACGTTCCATCACCAGCCGAGGTGACGTAGTCAGTGCTAAGGATGTCATTTCGGCTGTTGATAAAACGTTTGTAAATAGATTGCGAAGTTTGTCGAACAGGCGACATGGAATTCAGTTCACTCCAGCTGCGAGAACCGATTTTCACTACTTTTCCCACTTTCGACTGTTTCTGCAACCCTATCGCTGAACATCAATGAAGACACTCCACTGGTGGCATTCAGTCCCGTTTATGAATTCCTGATACGGAAATATAAAGAACGAGGGCAGTTTTATGCCCCCACAACACCTTTTTGAGGGATATATATATAGTCAAATTACAATAATCTTCATGAGCAGATATCGCAACATAGTTTGAAGGTGACCGTTTCTCCATCGAAATGTAAGGTCTGGCTAAATCTATCCTCTCGCTCATGAGCGATCAGTTGGAAATGGTCGCTCGCATTACCTATCCTAATTGTTTCAGTTGAAGATGACTAACAGAAATACTAGCGCGTGCCCGCAAGGCCATGGTGACTTTCGCCAAACTATGTCACTTGTGGCGTCGACGCGTTTTCAGATTCTCTTTGAAAGGTCGCGTTTACACTACGCCCCATTTTACTCTGCGGTTGCGAGAGCTGGCCGCGTCACGTAGAGGGCATACAGAACTTGTGTCTTTGACCACCGTTTCTTTCCATGCATCGCTGGAATACATTGATTTACGTGCAGTTCTATCGGAACCCCGCGGTCACAGCTAGGTCGCAAGCGAGCGTTCGTACAACAGTAGAACAAGACACTTCACGAAACTGACGACGGTTGTATTTGGAGTAGGCCTGAAGAGCCAAAAGAAAAGATTCGGAAAATGGAAGCAAACGCGCTGACTGAGTCTGTGATGAGGTAAAACAGTGAGATGCAAAAGAGGAATTTTACATTGGAAGGGAGTCTTATTTGATTTCATCACAGAGCCCCCTCGCCCTAGAAGACTAGGTAGAGCCTTTGATAAACGTGCATGTGTAGTGACGATGATTGTGCGAAGAATAGGAATAATCCACGAGTACATTTTGTGATCATGTTTTCTTCACAATAATCCTCGACTCGTACTGTGATACGATTTTCTGTTTTATTTAACTGCTTGTTTTTTTACTGAGCACGCTTTTCTACATTGGTGTATAAATAAGTTAAGTCATATTCCAGTCCATGGAACACGTAAGACACGCTTTCGCTTTACTGCTGCATTGTTCAGTCGTCACGTAATCGGGACATTCTAGTACCACGATGTCAATAACCGCGAATGTTTTTGCATACCTCGAACAATAAAACAGTAAGGGACCATGTGCATTTTAAGATTCATAAAAACTCTTTCACAGGCTGTCACGCAGAACAGCTTCATCTGCATGGTCGCAACGTTTACTGCTGCTTGTTTGTCCCTAACTTTGGATAAAGTGGAGTCTGGTCACGAAAATAATGGGAATAAACATCCAAAGTAGCTCCGGTTTGATGTGGTAGTAGATGCTTGTCCACGAGAAACGTGGAAAATGAGGGTGTCTGAAGGCTTGTCGTGGCTTTGCTTTTTACCCTGTTTGTGATTTGTCTGCAGTGAGAAACGGGGACGGTCGCAGCAGGGTGGGTGTGTAGAGATCGTAGTAGTAATAATAATACGCAAGGAACACGAACCATGCAATAGGAATCAAGGATCAGCTATCACGGACTGGATTACGGAAGCACTGGACCCCAATGGCTCTAGTACGCATGGTCCCACGTTACTGAGACGCGAGGACAAGGGAATGGTATTTCGTTTAATGAGGGTGATCAAATAATAATTACAGGTAATAGGCTCCCACCAATCCTATTGCAGTATTGCTCGCATAATTCTGCTTCTGTCTGTATTGTCCCAGATTGACTGGCACGATCCACCTATGATGTGTATTCAGAGTCCGTGACGCGTATGCGCGTCATTGATGTCACCTTTCAAAGTTGATTGATCGCGTGTGTCCGAAAACTGTGGCGCGCCGCTCCAGGGTATGCGTCATCTCGTAGGCTTGAAACACAACATGGAGTCAATTAAATACTGGCCATGGGTGTCAGGTAAAGGTTTTCGATGCCCTACATCGGTTATTGGGCTAAATGTGCCAAGTTTCTTTTTTATCCATTCTCTTGTGGTATGTTTTCCCCCAAAATGTTGAGTTTCAGCATGGAAGACAACGGAATAAAGAAGATTAGAGCAGTCCTTGTTGGAGTTGGTCAATAAATGCGAAAGCAAATACAATAGAAGATAGCAGGCATTTTTCCGGAAGGGTTTACGTTTATATGCATAGAGATATAAATGATCCGTGGTGAAAAGATTAGTAAATAAAAAGGAGCTTCGGGTTCTTCAGTTTGTTTTGTATATACATCTACGAAAGTATTGGGTTGAAAGAACCGGGACTTATTGGGATGGAGTGTGATAATTGTAGTAATATTAGTTCGTACTGATCACGAATTAGAAATCACGGGTTCAACGTTAGCACTGGATCACACTGGTACGTGCATGACAGTATCCCACGTAATCGAGACTCGAGAAAAAGGCCACAGAAATAGCAGTTCATTTATTGAAAGAAATCATGGGGTTAAAAGAATATACAAGGCAAGCTCATTTGGTCATCCAAGCCTCTACCAATCGCGTGCTAGTATTTTTGGCGTTGTTCAGTTTCCGTTTGGGCCGCACGGCATTTGATTGGTTGGTTCAATTGGTCTATGGTTTGTAGTCTGGAAGCTGTGACACGCACGCGATTTGCTGAAGTCGCTCGTGAAGCCTTATTGACCACAGTTGTCCGAAAACGGTAACGGTCACCCCGTGGTGTGCATCATCTCGTAAGCTAAGATCAACACACAGTTGCGAGTGGCGCATCACGTTGAGAACTAGTCGTGGGAGGGAAGGTTTCCGTCAGAAGCACCGGCTTCAGCCGGTAGGTGGTGACGGTCGCATGTCTGCCGTTGAGCTCCGGCACATAGGTTTCGTTTAAATGTCGCACATGGTACGCCGTGGTGTGGTGTGGGCTAATCGCGCTTACTGGCAAATTGCTTGAAGTCTTGAAGTATTACTCGGGTTCGAGGCTTGCGCCCAATATTCCCGGTTCCGGATTTGTCTTTCTTTCGGCGGTTTGGTGCACGAGCTGAAAGGGATGCTGACGGGAATGGGAGCTGGCTCCGATATGATGCCGATGGGTTAAGGGAAAAAAGAAAAACCTGGAGGAGAGCGACAATGTGAGAGGAGTAGTAACAGGGATAATTGGGATGATGTGGGGATTTCCTGTAGCAGATGGAGGTCAAGTA